CATCCCAGCTCAAGAAGTTACCGCTCCGCGCCAAGAAACAATAAAGGTCCTGGTGTTAAAGAAAGTCAATCTAAAGGTCTTACTAAAAATGATGGCATTAGAGGCGTGAACTCACGTTGCTGCTACTGCCAAGCTAAAGGGGTCTTTGAATGAGGCCCTTAGTTCTCTCAAGAGGCATGAATAAAAAATGTCTACCATCAAGAATGACTTGGTAGCTACTTCTTATTTGTACTTTAAGCGGGCGAAGGAACATGTAACTTTTCTCTATCTAGGGTTATGCCTAAGTCAGATGGATTTACTTAAAGTGGTTAGGGAATGTCATGCATATGATGCCCATTGCTTCAGTGATCCCTTATAGGACTAGTGTTTTAATGTCTTATCCCCTAGCGCCTTTATGAGGGTATACCCTTATATTTTTGCAATCTGTTACCTGTCATACCCCAAAGTTGTCCTACCATGTTTATCTTTATACATAACTTTGTGTTAGTTCCTGATCTTCCTTTGGATGATCATTTGGCCTTTGGCCATGATCCCCTAGGGATTAGATTATGAGGTCTTCTGTGTGTTCATGGTGTTGGTAAGCTCTTGTTAGGATGCTTTGGTCAAGAGGAGATGAAGGAGAAATATGCCTTCATTTTTGTGGATTAAGATCTCATCAGATGGAATGTAACTACTTTTGTGATTAAATGAAAGATTAGGATTCATGAGACAAGCATAACATAGAAGGTTAATGGACTCATTGATTCAAGAATGTCCAATGGTATTAAGTTCTTAAGCATTTATTTTCTTCAATAATTTGCTTTAATAGGAGGATGTCTTGCGTGGATTTTGTGGGATTCAAGTAACAAAGGTGTTATTCAAGTTCATCATTATCTTAGGGTTCTCATCTTTGGTATGAGCTTGTGGATATGAATCAATAAAAGATTGTGGTTTATGTGGAATTCCAAGGACCAATTTCAAAATTCAAATCCATATCATCCATGTTCACTTCAAGATTTCAAGTTCCAAACTTTAAGTTCACCATTTCAAGTTTATTTCAAATAACCAAGGTTCAAATTAAGTTCAAATGTTTAAATTCGTCAAAAGAATCAAAATCTTAAATCATACAAGGATGGAAGGGTCATGCTTATGGTTTAATTAGAATACAATTTGCAAGTGATGAGTTCAAGATCATTCAAGTGGATCATTTGGAATCCAAATAACAATGGAACACATCATTCAAAGTTTTTAAGGAAAAATATTCATCATAATTCAAACGTTATCTCAAGTTCAAATTTCATTATAATCATTCAAAGATTGCAAGACATAGTCCTTTTGTTCATCAAATTTCTCAAGGTATATATTTTGTTCATGCAAAAGTTGAAAGAAAGTTTATGAGAATTGCTTGAAGTTCAAAGGCATACATCATGTTCAACCATCTTAAATCCTTTTCAAGAAGACAAGTTCATTTCAAGTTACAAGGGTGGGTTGAAAGGTTACATGTTAAACTTAAGTTAATTTCATGCCAAGGATGCAAAATGTACAAGATTTGATACAAAATTCAAAGGTTCTCTACAAAGTACAAGAATTGAAAATTCACATTTTATTCCCAAAGATTCAAAGTATACAAAGTGCAAATTGAAAGTTCACATTTTAAGGCCAAGCTCAAATTACTTCAAACACAAAGGATCCAAGTTACAACATTTTTTGCATTCAAATTCTAGGAAATTTTACCTCATACACCTACAACTTTAAAAAAATTCCAATTTTATCCATGTATATTTTATATTATATTTTTTTATACTTTTTACTGTGTTGTGTCAGATTTTTAGAGTTCTGAGAAATTCACCAATCGAGTCTTCCGGAACACTTTTAAAATGACTTCCGGTATGTTGTTTTTTTCAAACCGGAAGACTTTGGCAAAGAGTTCTGGTTTATACACAATATGTACCGAAAGAGTTTATCAAAGACTTCCGGTTTGCGTTTTTCGTAGAATTTTACCGAACACTTTTCTTAAGAGTTCTGGTACTTGTAAAAAGTGTACCGGAACACTTTTTACAAGTCTTTCGGTTTGGTAACGTTGGCTACCGGAACTCTTTTTCTAAGTCTTCCGATTTGCATTTGTAATTTTTTAAAAACAAATTTTGTAATTTTTTTTATGCAGGTACAAAAATTCCTTTACAAATATGCGATAAAGATCAGATATGCGTAGATACGTTTGATGTTTTTTTAACTACTCAAAGATTTGGTACACGAGAAGAGGTGATAAGATGGATTAAAGAGATCGGAATCCGAAATAAAGTAACGGTTATCATCACTCATTCAGATATTGAAACAGGCAAGAGAGGAAGAAGTAACAAATTAATATTTGGATGTGATAAAGGAGAAAAACACAAAGATATTGATAGTGGAACCCAGAGTGCGACAAAAAAATGTGGATGTCCATTTAGAATCAGATCAGTTCCAGCGACTGATGGATCTGGATGGAAGATTGATGTAAAATGTGGAGTTCATAACCATGATTTACCTGATAGATTAGAAGGTCACGCATTTGTTGGTAGGTTGACAGCGGATCAGAAGCAACATGTTGTTGATTTGACAAAGAAAAAGGTTCCACCTAGACATATATTGCTTTCATTGCAAGAGCAAGAGCAAGATAATGTCACTCGGATCACGCAAATATACAAGCAGAAGAGTATGATAGAAAAAAATATAAGAGGTCATAGAAGTGAGATACAACATTTGTTTAAGCTTCTTGAGGATGCAGGTTATGTTTATTGGAGTAGAAAAAGAGATGACTCTGAAGTTATTAGAGATATATTTTGGCCTCATCCAGATTCAGTTAAGTTGTTGAATATGTTTCCTATTGTGTTAGTTATGGATAACACTTACAAGACAAACAAATATAGGCAACCTCTGTTTGAAATTGTTGGCATGACATCAACCGAGTTGACTTTTGCTGTCGCATTTTCCTATATTAAGTCTGAGCAGACTGAGACTTTTTGTTGGGTGCTAGATAAGCTTAAACAATTGCTTGTGAAGAAAGAGTTGTGTCCACAAGTGATTTTGACAGATAGAGATCTTGCTTTGATGAAAGCCATTGAAATTGTGTTTCCAAGGTTGATCAATTTGCTATGTCGATTTCATATTAACAAGAATGTTGGTGCAAAACGGAAACAATATGTGGCTAGTGACATGCAAAAGAAAATTGACAAATTATGGACGAATGTTTTATGGGCTAGTGATGAGGTTGAATATGATCAAAGGTATAACCAACTTGAGCAGGCGTGTGTTGATTGTAATGAATTTAATGATTATGTGAAGGATACATGGTTGACACCACATAGACAAAGATTTGTTGGAGCATGAATTAATCGAGTGCTACATTTTGGTAACACCACGACTAATCGGTATGTATTTATTTTTAGTATTTCTAAATTGTATATTTTTTTTTGAGTTTTTTTAAAATATTTTTAATATGTATTAATTTTAGGGTTGAGTCTGCTCATTGGAAGTTAAAGCAAATGTTGGGGAACAGTACTGGTGACACGGTCAAATGTTGGGAGGCTATGAATGACAACTTAAAGTTACAATTGGGAAATATTAGAGCTTCTTTTCAAAAGAGTTTTTATGAAGTTGAGCATGCCCACGTAAGTCCATTTTACAATAATTTATGTGGTTCAGTGTCTCGAGATGCATTGAGACGCATTGATGAAGAGTTAAAACGAGTTGATAGAGGAATTTGGTCCTCAACCACCACATAAATGGTTAACTCTACCAGATATGGGTTACGTGATAGCGAATCGTTATAATGTTGTACTTGTCTGTTTAGGAATTGAATGCTGGACTTTCTTCCCTATGACAACTTCTTTTTCACCAAATGTAGCAATTTACTGCATTGGTTTTGTAAACAGAAATCATTGGGTTCAGGTACTTAGTTGTTTTTAGATAATGCGATTAAACCTAATTCTTTTTTGTTATTTTTACTTAATATTTTGATTATTTTTTTATTTAGGTAAACATGAAAGAAAGGTTTCAATTGCCACCAGTGACAGTAGATTGGAAGAAGTTTCGTTCTCCAGCAGCAACATCTTGGATGCTAGGATTTGTAGGACGTCTACAACATTGACAATAACTTACGCCTATATTACCAACGCATTATGAATTATAAATTATGTTACTCATTTTTAATTTCAAAACATGAATCATGAATTATGTTATTCATTTTTAATTTTAAAACATGAATCGTGAATTATGTTATTCATTTTTAATTTCAAAACATGAATCGTGAATTATGTTATTCATTTTTTATTTTAGGCTACAAGTTAACACATAAACATAAACCAACTAGGTCAAATGAGTCTAAAAATTAACACATGGACATAAACCAATTAGGACAAATGAGTCTAAAAGTTAAAATATAACCATAAATATAAATATAAGTCACTGTGATCGAGCAATATGTAAAGCTTCGAACAAATCAGCAAATTGTGGGTCATTCTCTTCAGCACCAGCATGTTGAAGATAACGATGAATCAATGAAGACACACGAGCCAAGATAGGATCAGATGGTCCTGCTTCATATACAAGAACTGACATCTCTATTGTCGCATCACGATAGGGCGGTACCAGACGAGGATGTGAAACACGATAATACCACTGAAGATATCCATCATCTGTCTCATATGGGGTGGTGGCCGGTGTTGTCGGACGAATCACATCCTGAACGCTCTGATGATAACTAATCCAGTCAACATCAATATCACCAACCATCGTATAATCAACAGGTGGATGTGGAACATACTGCCTGTATCCAAACTGACGCATACATCTGTCAGGCAAGTATGGAACAATAATGTCACCCCACCTCAGACACCCCCTATATAGACATAACTCATCAAATTGACGCCATACACTATGATTCTCGAATGAGCGCCATACGACATCGGAAGGTGTCAGCTCGTCCAGAATAGGTCGCAAGTCATCCACCTTCAAGGCACCTTGCCTATAGGACCATCTCATCACTCGAGGGAGACCCAGATTATTAGCTGGTATCCAGTTCTCTCCTTTTTTTTTCCAAGTGTTGGAAAATACTCATGAATCCAACACTGTTACAAAATTAATATTGTTACTAAATTTAAAATACTTAATTATAACATAATAAACTAGATAAATAAAATTAATATACTAGATAAAATTAATTAAAACAAAATATACTAAATTAAAATAAATACCTGTAGGAGAGTCGGATAACCACCAAGCTGCTTACAACTGAACACAGAAGCATCTCCGAGATATCTATAAAGAGTAACCAACGCAGCTGCTCCCCAACTGTATCCTGATAAGCCATCCAAGTCTATAAATAGTGAGAGATATCGTGCCTCAACAAGCGTAAATGTCTTGTCCGCAAAAATAGTGGAACCCACTAACATCAACAAATAAGCTCTAGTGGCATAATCCCATCTAGATGAAGCTCTATGCTCTACGAATCGATCATATAACCACTCCAACTTATAGTAAGAACCCCTGCAGTCACAGACTTGTTGATGTGCCACTCTCCGTGACACTCTTAAATAATCAACAACCCACTCAACAGCAAGCGCTTCACTGATATCTTGAGGGCTCCAAAAGACTCCCCTGACGGGCAAGTGAAGGAGGCGAGATACGTCATTTAGAGTAATCGTCATCTCACCAAACGGCATGTGAAATGAAGATGTCTCTAGCTGTCATCTCTCTGCAAATGCGGAAACCAGGTTCGTGTCTATCTTTGTTAAATTGGTTCTCTAGAGTGAAGCTAGACCAGACCTAGATATCCAACCCTTCATCTCTCTGGGTAGCTGTAGTGGAACCCTCTGAATCAGCTTCAATCCATGTCCCGCTACCTTTAACTCTTTCTTTGATCTTCTCTCCTGAAAACAATTAAAAGTAAATATATTATAAAATTCAATATTAAAAATTCGAATTTTATTCAATATTAAATAGTTTTCGTTTACTTACGTCACCGAACCATATATGTCTAGCAACATGATGTTTGTACTAAACTAAAAGTGAGGTATCGTACGGCCCTCCTGGATATCCAACAGGCTCGGATGCTGATGCAGATGCATCAAAATGCTCTTCTTCAGCCATTCTCGATGTCTCGCTCCGTCCTAGTCCGCGAGAAGGGATCCTACCATCTTTGCCTCGTGTGCGCACTACTGCCAAAATAAATAAATAAATAACATTAAAAATTAAAAATTAAAAAAAAACATGAACCGGAAGACTTGATCAAAGACTTCTGGTGAACAAACGTAAAAAACCATGTACCGGAAGACTTGATCAAAGACTTCCGGTGAACAAACGAAAAAAAATATGAACCGGAAGACATACATAAAGTCTTCCGGTGAACAAACGAAAAAATACAACAAACCGGAAGACTTACTATTGGAGTTCCGATATATCTAGGTGAAAAATGTAGTTCGGAATGACTTGTTGGAAGACTTCCGGTTTGCATGTGAAAAAAGGGTGTTCCGGAAGTGTTGAAGTGCAAATGAAATGAAAGTGTAAAATTTCTAAAATTATAACTATTTATACAAGGATATTTTGGTCCAATATTTTTTAGTGTAGGGGTATGGGTATAAGAGTAGGGATATCGGGTAAAATTTCCCAAATTTCAAGTCCTTACAATCTTACAAGATACATGTTACAAATCCTAAGTGCAAATCCTAGTCCTAAAAAAGGTTGTCCAAATCCAAAGCAATCTCAAAGCTATGAGTTTTTCACAACCTACAACAATAGCACCACATAGTGGGAACATTGTGCTTCTGTTTATGGCGGTGGTACGCTTTCATCTGGCCGTGCAGGTTCAACTGGTGTGGATTTCAGTACACCACACAAATACAAGTTTCTTAGACATAGAAGCCTATTGGAATCAATTAACAGGATTTATGAGATTAAAGGCCGTAAACATACAAGTCCGCTAGCTAGTAGTGTTTGCATCAAAGATTTTAAAAAGAGTATTTGCATCAAAGTAGTGTTTACATCAGAGTCTTGGCCCTTACCAGTGAGAACATAGTGGAAAACCAAGTAGTGTTTGCATCAAAGATTTTGAAAAGCTATTGGAAATGCTGGTACTGCCATTGGGATTTTGTCAAAAAGACAGTGTCAAATAGAAGGTGACATCCGACCTTACTACAAACAAATCATAGTCACAAATTACAATCAATACAATCAACTTGACTCAATAAATCATGAATCATGAATCATCAAAACCAGACTAAATTCTTTCCAAAACAATACACAAATATGTTCAATTGAAAATGGAAAAGCCTTCATTACACAATCATGAAAAAATCATATTCAAGACAGCCACAATTTTATTTCCAAAATAGTATTTGACATGAATATTGCATATTCAATTGCAAGAATCATGAATTTAATCCATAGAGCCTATATAATGTTACCACACGCACAACAGAGGGCGAAGAAGAAAGAGACGAATTCAAAAAGCAATAACACTGAAAAAACACACGAACACGTAGACGAATCAAAGCAACAACACAATATCAACAATTCAAAGCATATCAATATCATCACAGTCTACACAAAACCAACAGCAAGAACGAAACAACAGGTAGAGCACGCACAAAATTGAGACGTGTGCAAAGCCACGACAATAACATACAACACAAATTGAACATTACGACCATCATGACGCACAGTAAATCAAAAGCGAAAGTTAGAATCATACCTCCACTGGATTCCTGGAAATATTTTCCTTTCCATTTTCGTAAATTGAATCACATTAAATATCATTTACGGAGAAAAGTCGAGGTCGTAACAAACCAATTGAGGGAGACGAACAGAGAGAGACATAGGAACTGGTATTGAGCTTGTTCCGCCGTCGCCGACTAACAGCCATGGCGCGGTGGATTCTTCCTTTTCTGGTCGAAAAACACAAGCAAGAAAGAGAAAAGTTGAGACGAGGGAGTGAGGTGAGAGGAAAGCAACATTCTGATTTTTTTTGTTTTTCTCATGTTGATAAGTTTCATTGCCATGTGGGTTGGTTCTGGTGGGATTAAGAGCCATAAGCCTAACTTGTTTTTTTGGAAGCATCATCATTATTTTATTTTTCTTTTTTACCTTCATGGAAACATAAATGCTCCGAGCCCATATCATTCTTTATTCTTAATTCCCAATCATTATTACACCCCAATTCTTCCTTTAAGGTGATTTATTTTTTTTTATTTACAAATTTTCATTTTTGTTTTGTGAGTTTAATTTAAATTAGAAATGCTAATTGTGATTAAAATTATAATTAGTATTTTAAATCCTAATTAATCTTGATCCATTTTAATTTTGTTTTGATCTTAATCTTGATTAATCCATGTTAGTTGTTATTAAATCTTGATGAAAATAGGTGATCTTGATCATGTACAGTTCCCTGTTAATTTTGTGGACTTTTGATTATTTTTTCTCGTGGTTGTCAATTATTTTGGATATGTACTTGTGATCATATGTTTATGATTTCCATGATCACTTAGGATATCGTAATTCAACTTAATCTTTGATTAATTTGAATTATGATTAAACCTTAGGCTTTAATCTTTGACATGACAACTGTTAGGTTAGACTTTCCCTTTAAACCTAACTTTAGGACCATTTTGTATGATAACGCTAGAATATAATTCCCTTTAACCGTCCCTTTTCTTTCATAAAACAAAAAAACTTTTTCTTAATTAAAAAATACAAAAAATACTTAACTAATATGATACGTATTATGCATCATGAAGCTTAAGCACATGTAAAAAGATGAGCGGGTGTTTTCCTTACCTCTTCTTAGGGTATGTTGTACATGAGACGCCTCACTCATCTGTATAATGCATTCGCTCCTATTATCATAGAATTTCGTATAGTACTTATCTCTAACCTTTTCAAATCCTAATAAAACATCTCAGAAATTTAAACCTTTTTGCCTTTGGGCTTTTTTCTCTTTAAAACCTCTTCAAAAAGGGCATGCTGCTTCCGTTCTACCGTAAATAGATAGAATGCAAACTTAGCATCATCCATAAAAAACACACAACAAACCAAACATTTCCAACAAGAACTACAAAGTTCTGATTCCCTCTAGGATACGTAGGCACTGGGTTTCAAAATTCAAACGAACTCAATAATAAAAACCTTTTTCTTTTCCCCAAGTAATCATCCATTTTCCCCTTAGCAAGCTTTGAGATATCAGATACCTTTTTCATGCCTAGACAACATAGACGGTTTCCATCGAGTACGATGGATGTAGAGGGTGTTAAAACCTTCCCTTTACATAACTGACTTCTAAACCCAATATGGTTGCGATGACCATACCCTATCCTTTCACCCGTGGGTTTTATTGATGTTTTCCCTTTCCCCTGATGGGAATAAATAAAGTTTGACGGTGACTCTCATAAGTCCACCCGTGATCGTGCAACTCTGTTTTGCTCTTCACGAAGATCGTATTTTTTGAGGTACGACATTACTCATATTTAGGTCTTTAATTAATAGTATTATCGTAATTTGTCTATGTATGCCATCTTGTAGCTAGTCTTAAAATGGTCTTTTTTGGGAGTGAAGGCCCCCACTCAGAAATGCTCTTGTTATTCCAAAGGTGTCGGGAGGTTTTCCTAGGGGGGCTTTGATTGTTGTTAGGTGATGAGTGGGCTCCTTCGTGGGTATTCAATGCAATATCCATTAAGGTGACAATAATCCATTTACAAGGATCAAACATCTAGTTGCCTCGAGGGGCGGAAAGGATTCCTTCAAGAGGATTTAACATGTAATTGCCTTGAGGGGCAACAAGGATTCTTTCAAGAGGATCCAACATATAATCACATCGAGGGGTGATAAAGATTCCTTCAAGAGGATCTAACATGCAATTACCTCGAGGGGAGACAAGGACTCCTTCCAAAATAGGGGAGTTTAGTTGAGATATGTGAACCCCCTTCTAAAAGAAGAGAACTAAGAAGTATGCAGGGAATAGTTGGACCTATTAGAAGAGTTGGATCATAGTAAAATATGAAATGGCATTTAAAAATATTAATAAATTCGTCTCATTACAACTCATCCTGTGGGACCATGTATTAAGAAAGGCTGACATTGGGAAGAAAAACGTTGATGACAGTCCATCATATGATATTTTTATAGTTAAATTCTTTTAATTTTAAATACACTTAACGTTAATGCATTTTGCTTTTGTAGGGTTTTATAAATATTTCAAAGATTTATGAGAATGACCAAACCAAATCGAAATCAATTTAACTAGACAAACAACGTAATAATTTTACTATCAAAGTATGATGACGAAGCAAACATGAAGAACATAAGGAAAATAGAAAATAAATGCAAAAGATAGTCAATCGTGACACGACCTTTCCTCAAGCGTCCCGATCCAAAAATTCCATAAGAATTTCAAAAACAATCATCTAATAGTGAAGGGATTACAAGACATCGAGGTGTTATCTGGTTTCAAAGGCAAACACAACATTTTCAACAGCACATCCGCAGGATCCAAACTTTATGCCAAAATTCTAAAGTAGAGAAATCGAACAATTTTTGCAAGATTAAGTAGAAGCGTGACACATTAGTACTAGTTCAGTTATACCAATGTGTAGTAATTTGATCATATATCGAGTATCATAACTCTGATTAAAGTGAAATAAGTGAAAAAGAAAGCTAA